GGGTTTCCCGGTAAACAGAATAATAAATCGGAGAACAAACGGTAAACCAATTAATGGTTAAAGAAAAAAAAAACACTAAACAGAAGCGTCGCCACCGACACCTCGGCTTCTATAAATAAACGCTGTCGCGTCGTTAGAGCCGACCAGTCGTGCTTAAGTTATTTGTATTAGATTCGTCTCGATCAACTTCTTGCAGTTTTTTTTCTGTCCGTTGCACGGCTTGTTTGCTTCATAGAAATATGCGTGCGTAAATAGGCATTTATTACTGTTGCTATTGGAACGCTCTGACGAAGCCGTATAAAAACCATTGATTAAGTAAATTCGTTTCTCGACGCTGGATTTCCGTAGCACCGTGAAAGCAGATGTTTCATTGTATCTTATTTTGGTAAAAGCATCGATAAATTTATTCTGCTTTTTAACCGAAGCGTTACCGTAACGTTTATCTGCATCTGAAGTGTCTAAATAGCTCGGGAATGAAAAATCCTTCGCGTTGTTCGGAGCTAATGAAACGATCTGCGGACCGTACGATTTCTTCGGTGTCCGTGAAAACCGTATGAAATCGTCACGAACGGAGTTCGGTAACAGAAGAGTTCAATTCAACGAGACTGCGTAATATCTGTTTCATCGAATCGTTAAATAACAAATGCAACGGCATTGAACACGAGTCCGTAAAAGGCTCGGCGAAATCTGCGGTCTCGGCGGGATCGTAAACGAGCGCCAATTCGTTAAGATTAATCGCGACTGATTATGTACACAGCCGGGTCGCGCGTAATTTGCCGCGGCATAGTAATAATTCCGTGGATAATCGGTGACCGTCGCAGAACGAGCTCGGGAATCGCGTGAACGAGAAGATCGATCTCGAGAAAGAGAGGCCACGCGAAAGAAGAAAACGATGGGACGGAGGGAAAAAAGAAGAGAGACAGTTGTTAAAGATTGTCCTTAAGAGAGCGAACACGCGCGAGACGCGACTGGCGCGATCATTAAAGAACGATCATGAAAGTCGGAGCGAAAGAAACGATGAACCGTGACGCCGCAGTCATTACGGATGACCCTCGGGGGTGCGATTTTTCTCGATCCGGAGGCCCATCGGTGGCCCAGTAAAATCGACCGAATTCGTTTGCAATCTGGTCTTCCTTAATTGCTATTTCACGGATCCGCGGGACGGTATTCGAGTCAAGGCGAGCCGGGTTTCTGTGAATCACATTACACGTGTATTCGTAGGGCATGATTGTGACGCCCGTCAATAACGTCTATACCTTGAGATCTATGGACACCTTTTACCCTCTCATTGAAACGCCATAATTCGCCTGTCGCAAATATTTCCGTCCGATGCGCGGTCGATCGATCGATCGATCGATCGATCCGGCGACTTTCGAAACAGAATCGATCCGTTCGAATTCGACCGTGGAATTTTTACGAGACGATTCTTCGCGTTTTTTTTTAGGCGATAAACCGATCGATTTACTGTAGAACATTTCGCAAACATTGCAACCGGTTCGAACAATAAGGAAAGTAGCACGCATGATCGTTGAATCGTCTTTTTCTCTCGTCGCTCCAACCAACTAGTTTTGAAAACGAATTTTTTTTAGTCATTTTATAGCCGATTAGGTCGCTCTGACGTCCGAAGAATAAATTCAAGTCCGCTGGATCGATCGTAAATAAGTTGGTCCGTTTCAAAATGGTGTCTGGTCACTGTCGTGTGCCACCGTATGTCCGGTGATCGACAAGGTCGATCGTCGATCGACGCGTTTCCGGCGACACCGTAATTGGATACCTCTGTTCGAACTTCTTTCTTCTTTCTTTCTCTTTCCCATGGTTAACCTTATGGTGCGGCGGTGCGACAGCGATCTCGAGAGAAAAAAAAAGGAAATGATAATGATCCGCGCGTGGTGTCACCGCAGTTTGACAAGGGAACGTTCCGGCAACCTTTTAAAATTGCGACCTATTAGCGGATTACGGGTTCATGCTGAAATTCAACGTGCCCACCTGTCTCCTAAGCTGAAAGTGACCGGCACGTGTCGCCGAACGGAAATGGCACGAGCCGAAATGCAGTTTCATACGTTCAGCGCCGCGTGACTCGCATATGGGTGACACTAATTTTTAACTAGGCGTTTGACATTCATTTTTATCGTAATATATCGAACGAATTGAACGTTACCGAGATTCGTAGAATACAAAATGGCTGAACCAATTATCTCCAAGGGTAAATTTTCGCTTTCTAAATTTTCTTTTTCTCGGTGTGTCATTAATTCAATATTAAATTAATTAATTAAATTCGGTATCGTTAAGTTTCTCTCCTTCGTGGCGAAATGTGTGATACAATCGCTAGCAAACCGAAAGAGTAGCGACACAGTTTCCCTAAAAATTTCACAATTAATTTCCTAAACATTTCACGATGAACTTTCTCAAAATTTCACGAGTTCGAATGTTACGATTGCTTGTCGATTTTGGGGTTGACTGTCCGGTGGGTCATCGTAAAACGTGCAACGATTTCCGTAGAACTTTTTTCGGATAGTCTGGCACGTGTGCAATCGACGAGTCAGATATCCCGAGAGCTATTAAAAGCCGCAGGATTCTAAAAAGGAGACAGGACTATATATCGGATATCTCTAAAAATAACCCTGGAATGCTATAATTTCTACTGAAAATAAAAATGAAAGGAAGACAACTCGTTAAGATCGAGGCAGTTCCACGAATTCCTGAGATATCTATTTCTCGTCATCTCACACGTGTTCGAAACTCTTCCATTTTGTTTCGCCCACCAACAGATACATGTTGTATCGAATCGAATCGGATCGATTCGAACGAAATAAGCTTTCAATCGATCGATCATGTACATATACATATACATATATTATTATTATTATATAATATTATTATGTTATATATATATTATATTATTATCATATTATTATATATATAATATTATCATTATATTATCATTATATACATTGTTACTATTATGCCGGTATATACATGTCCGATCGATCGCAGAGCGCTACAGCTCGAAAGCTTGTTTCGTTCGGATCGGTCGATGGAACACACACGTGATCGGATGCGCGCAAGTTAATTCGAGGAATGTTCGGTGCATTTTTCCTGATCCGTGACAACGCTAATCATACGGGCATAATGGGAATGCATTATTACCTGCATCGCGCATGAGGAAGTAGCCGGTCTGCTTGAATATTCAGCATGCGGCGATATGAAATTAGGAATAATAAAAAAAAGTATCGGTCGCGTCGACGATGCGTTGCAACATTTTTTTGCGATTTAGGCGAGGTTAGCTATTCTCGGTAATTACGTTATCGCTTATTGAAATCGATCCTGGTTGCAAAATTATCAGGAAGATTCAGCGACGAAAGCCCCGGCGCCGTTGAATCTCGAAGCGTTCGCGCGATCCTTGTGAAAAATTTCGAATGAAGAAGAAAGAAAAGAAATGGAAGAAATATCGACGAATCTATGAAATCGCGCAACATGGAAATAATCGATCGTCCGCGGAGTGGATGCACTCTGGAAAGAGTCGACGAAGCGAAATATGATCGACGAAGCGAAATATGATCGACGAAGCGAAATAACAGAGCGCGCGAGAGTAATCGACGCGCAGCAATTGAACGATAATTAATTGCGAATTCATCAAGATCAACGGTCCCCGTCAAGGTGCCGTACGAAGTTTCCACGAAGTGACAACGATATATCGTCGAGAGTTAGAATCGCGGAGAGCAATGCCGCGACCTCAGCGCGTCTTCCCGCGCGAACTACATTCCTGGTTTCCTTCGATTAAGCAACCTTCGTAGTCTAAACAAACCGAGAAAAACTTGCAACTTTTAACTCGGTGTTTTACGATATGGGATGCAAAACGACAGCGGCGTGACGCAGACACGTCGCGTACGGAATAACAATTCGATCATGCGCGACGGCAAGAACCGTTCGCTGTCGTACGGAGAAAATCGTCGGACTAATTAGAATCGAGACTGGATAATTGCATTTGCATTAGGTGGTAATTGTATTTTCATTAGGTGATGATTGTATTTTCATGAGGAGCAATTGTATTTTCATGAGAGCTAGTGGTTGTATTTTCATTACGAGTAATTTCATTTATCGTCGGTATATATTACAAGTTTTTATAATATTCGAATGAGTACTTTTAACAGCAAGTCATCATACATCATATTTATATAATAAATATATATATATATTATTATAATATATATACTATTATTATTATAGTATAGATATCTAATAAAAATGCAACTGTTCTGTGGACGATTTAAGATATAATAATACTACGCTATATATATATATTGCATTACATACAGTTGCATTTTTATTAGATATCTATACTATAATAATAGTATATACTATAATAATAATAGTATATAATATCTATACTATAATAATATAATTATAAATATCTATACTATGTATCACGACTTGCTCTTAAAAATAATATATACTCGCAATATATACGAATGATAAATAAAACGTCCCCTAATAGAGATACAATATTGTCCGAAAGACAATTATTCTGCAGATAACTTAAAATAAACTAATACGATGCTATAATTGCATCGGTTCCGCGATTCCCGATTAGAAAGTTCTGCGTTTCGATTACGCAGCGATACTTTTCTCCGATCCATTTTTTTCCAAAGAATATCGCGAACGTGCGTCAAATAGTCCTTTAAGCTCGTGCACGATAACGGATCGCTGGATAAGCGAGCGAGACGAATGGCGTAAACTATACGGACACGTGTTCACCTAAGGCTAACAATTTGTTACATAAATAATGATTCCGTTGCGAATGTCGTATCATTGAATTTGACGCAGTTTGAATAATTAACCGGCCGAGGAAATGATTTCTCGGTAAGCCGATCGAAGGATAGACAGATCGGATAACAACTAAGGCTGGCTGACGCGGGAACATGGAAATCTCGTCGATGTCGCATGTTTTTTTCGTGTGTCTCTCTCGATCATCGTCATTTTGGCACGTCGTTTTGTTGCAGGATGCATCCTATTGTTCGTGTCCGGCGTCATTTCCACGATCCTTGCTTTCATTATCTACAAAAGCAACCCTGCGCAATGGGTGCTGGATTACGTAAGTGACGACCGTTCGTCGAATTTCCGAAGCCTATTCCACCAACGGCTTCTCTTGTGAATTCTTTATTGTTTTCCGATATTTAATGCGAAAATATGGTCGTTTCAGAAACTGGAAATGAGACCGAATTCCCTAGCTTTCGAATTATGGAGGAAACCCCCCATCGAGGTGTTCTTAAAAATCTATATATTTAACATTACCAACGTGGAGGCGTTCTTCAGCGGCGAAGAGAAGATGAAGGTCGAAGAGATCGGACCTTACGTTTACCAGTGAGTACCGAACACAGCGCCGAACGAGCGCTAACAAAACTGTTTAACAATCTTTCGGATGTAAATTAGACAACTGTCTACTGTTTGCCGTATCTAATTAATATTTATTCAATTGTGCAAACGTTTCTGTTCAAGCCCGAGTTTGAGTTCTGCTCAAGCTCGAGTTTAAGTTCTGCACAAGCTCGAGTTTAAGTTCTGCTCAAGCTCGAATTTAAGTTCTGCTCAAGCTCGAGTTTAAGTTCTGCACAAGCTCGAGTTTAAGTTCTGCTCAAGCTCGAGTTTAAGTTCTGCACAAGCTCGAGTTTAAGTTCTGTTCAAGCTCGAGTTTAAGTTCTGCTCAAGCTCGAGTTTAAGTTCTGCTCAAGCTCGAGTTTAAGTTCTGCTTCACCTCGTAAACGAGAAAAATAGACGAATTGGAAATAGAAGATACGATCCTTCGAGTCTCCCGGTTAATTTTTCTATTCACCGATTAACAATTATAAAAACGAGGCGCAAGGCTCGAATAATCGTATCTCCTATTCCCAAATTGTCCATTTTTGTTCGCAAGCTGATGGAAAATTCGGGAGAACTTTACTGTACTCTCAATTCTTGTTCGACTAACTCTGCTTACAGCGTTACACAATGGAATAAATTTTCTCACGTTGTTGAACACCGGCGCGTCTAATTTCAGGGAGCTGTTAGAGAATCAAAATGTCACGTGGCACGAGAACAAAACGATTTCGTATATACCGAAGAGGACGATCAAGTATATACCAGAAATGTCTAACGGCGATCCAATGCGTGACATGGTGCGCGTGCCGAACATACCGATGCTGGTGAGTGAAAGCACGCTTGTGATTTAATTACACAATCGATCGATTGATCGATCGATCGATCAATCAATTAACGGAGTTATTTCCGAGAGATCGTATAGCACAGCCATTGTTAGTCGCGTGAGATCACACGATTTTTTATCGAGACACAGTAGTCAGATCCAACGTGTCCCTTTCTTCTCGATAATAGTGCAGATTATACGCCAAATTAACATTTTTCTCTAGCAAGAAAATTTCTTTAAAAAATCATAATTGTCCGAGCCAACTCTATGCAAGCCAGAGAAAAATGTCTTTACCCTTTAAATAATAAAAATGCAGCCAAATTATCTCCTCAATTTCCTGCTCAACCAATTCGTTGTTAAAATATATATATTTTTTAAATAAATAATATATATATAGTTATAAATAAAGTATATATATATATATATAAATAATATATATTGTCATAAAATGCATAAATAACAGTCGATCAATAAATCCGCCGATCATCGCGCGTTCTTTAAAAAGCAAAAACTATTAATAAGAAGTAATTTTCATAAGAACGACACGATTACATTTGTCGCGTCTCATGCTGATTCTGATTTAAATAGAAACACGATGGACGACAGCGTGATTGCGCGGTTGCAAAGAAATGTGAAAACTCGACGCCCATTAACGGGCATTAAAGCTGAAAAACAAGCGGCAATTAGCGAACTTTTTGAAGACTATGTAGCTACATGTGTGCCCCGACCATTTATTTACGATGACATTTCGATCGCGACCTGTCACCGGCGCTCGTTACCTGTATCGTAACAGATTCAGATACGATTACAGCGGCTTTGCATATCGTCGAATGGTATATTCAACGTTTTTCTTTGATCTTATTCGCGATTTCGCGAGCCATCCGACCACAAAATGGTCGGACATGAATAGTAATTGACCGCGCCGCAATTAATCAACGACTTACAGAAACGACAGCGTTCGCGAAGGTGTCGGAAAAACAAGCCGCAGGGGATCCTCGTTGATAATTGAACACGGTGACTCGCCGCGGACACTTTTTCGAACAAAACTTCGAGTTCGATTCGAGTTCGATTCGAGTTAGACGAAATTTACTTGCCTTTTTTTTTAAGTCGTCAGAGGGTCAGATTACCGCGCACCGACTAAAATGCTATTTTTCACTTAATTTTGCCACTACTTGGGACGACAATCGATCGCATAAGTTGCAGAGACCTTCGAAACGCGTCGCTTAAATTTTCGTTACAAGCTCGGATAAAAAGTGTTAAGAAAACGTGAGTTTCTAATTTCTTTTCTCGTTCCAATCAATTGCATTTTTTTCCAAGAAATTTGTAGACATTGCCTAATAAACTCCTCTCTTCCTCTCTCTCTCCCTTTCTCTTGCTCTCTGATATCTCAAAAAAAAGTGATTTCTCGTCGACATTTAAAAAAGTTATTAGCTATCGACTTATTAGTCGACGCAATGTCATCGTTGCACTATTCACAGTCGAGCCGTGAAGGTTCTTTCACCTGGAGGAGCGATTATCCGCGATCGTTTGTTCCACTGACGCGAGAAAAATCCCATGCTTAATTAACAGCTGCTCGAGGAAGTAAACGAGCTTATCAATTGTCAGCCTATCGATAAACCGCCGGTGAATCTGGAATAGCAACAAACGCCGCGTCACACGAATTCATTAACGAGTATAGCGAATCTTCGCATGCGCATGATCTGCGATCATTTTCTTTCGTTGAATTTCCGATACGGATCGAAAATAGAATTCGAACAAATTTCAACGGAATCCACTAAAAAGAGAATTATTACATCGTAAAAGACCGGGATAATTGTTTGGTAATATTAATTTTTGTAGCTGCGCTACAATTAGAACACGTGCGTGAACCAGCTTTTATTGTCACGTGCTATAAATATTCATTTATTTTTTGTCCGAGGGAGACACAATCGCAGGAACATCGATCGATTGTAAACTCGATGCTACTTATGACCGGGAAAAGAAATATACATATAATTACGTACAGTGGATTTAATTAGCGAATCGATAACCGCTTGAATGCAATAATACCAGCGTGTTTTAATGATATCGCGTTTTACAGAAAGAATCACGGTCTAGCAATTACTGTACGATTTCTATATATTCTTCTTTCCCTGTTGGATCACGAGAAAACAAATTTCCCGAACGAATTCCAAGAGAAACAGAAATTCAATCGAAACGCTAATGGCTCGATCGTTCAATATTTTACTGTGGCATGCATTTATTGCAGTAAATTATTGCACTCGCGACGAAACCGTGCGCTTCCGTTTTAATCACGGTACAGTGATCTCTCCCTGATTCGCGCTCAGATCGTTTTCATAGTTGTCGACAATCGGTGATTATAAAAAACGAGCCGCAAAGCTCTCCTCTTCCCAAGTTGTTCATTTTCGCGGGCGATCTGAGCGCGAATCGGGGAAAGATATTGCTGTATTCCTAGTTCCTCGGAGATGAATTTCCGCGGGCGTGTCAATTTATTGTTACAGATTAACAGAGACAGAGTCTATCGTGTGATCGTTGGCCGTGTGAATCTCTATTTATAATCGAACGAAGCGCGTTGAACGCTGCAGCACGTCGAGCCCGATCCATAATTCTGTTTACAGGGCCTAACGTCGACGTTGCACGACGCTGGAATGTTCGTCAACATCCCGTGGATCAGCCTGATCAACGTGATGAACAGCAAAGCGATCCTGAACATCACCGTTCACGATTACCTTTGGGGCTACGAGGACAAGCTGATCCATTTCGCGAGCACCGTCGTCCCGAGTTTCATCGACTTCGCGAAATTCGGTCTGCTCGACAGGGTGAGTGTCTCCCAAAATAAAAAGAAAAACACCTCGAAATCTTCACGATCTCGATTTCGTCTTGGCAAAGAGAATAATCAGTTCGCCATCGGATCGAGGATATTTACGCGAAACACGGAATGGCCTTCGTCGAACAGAAGTTTCTTTCTTCGACACGGCTGGGTCCGTTCGGACCCGTAGTTTAAATATTGTTATTCAAACGTCGAGATAACTAATTTTCGCGCGGTTCATTCGAGATCTGTAGGGAAACCATTTAGAGTACCTCGAAAGATCTGGAGATTTATTTAAGTTTATTTGATTTGTTATTATTTATTTACTTATTTGTATCTATTTTATTATCATTATTATTTGTTTAAATTTAAAGTACAGTATATTTAGGGCACAGCACATTTCAAGCAGAATCGAATAACAAGCCTGTTGAAATGAAGTCACCGCGCGCGATTGCAGTTAGCAAAGAAACGTGCAGTAAGCAAGGAAACGTGCAGTTCCCAATACACGTTTCTGTTAGTTCCTCTCCTCCGTATATTATTCGTCGAAACAACAAATCCGCGTATTCCTCGTGTTAGAAACCAACTTGAAAAATACGGCGAGTCTACGCGGAAACTCTCGCATGCGACGAGCGCATGCGATTCGCAACATGTTTATCATTCGTCGCTGCTATTGACAGCGCGAATAACTGGCAGCAGTTTCTCGTTTGCGCGCGAGTCGATTACATTGTAGAAACACGGATTTTTATGAACGTTCTGGAAACCCGACATCGCTGAACGCTACTGATTACGCGCGCATCAATCTGTTGCACTGCGATATCGTTGCTGCATTAGATAAATTGATTAGCTCGCGTTAATAGATTCCATTCTCGATCAAACTCCGAACTAGTTGTATATTATTTATTATATAGTTATATAGTATTTATATATTATATATTATTTATTATATGTATTATTTTTATTATTATCTTTTCTACTTTAACTCTGCATCAAGCCTTTCTAAACCTTTGTATCTCTTTTCTCTTGAAATTTTGTGACTATATATATATATAACGGGTAACTTATATATGATATAATAATATAATAATATTATAATATGATATAATAATATAATAATATTATAATATGATATAATAATATAATATAATTAAGTAAACTATATAATAGGTAACTTCCCGTATAAATTCAACGAATAAACAAATAAATGAATGATCGATCCGTACAGATGTTCGACGGAAAAATAAGGGAAAGCTTGCGCGCGCGCGAGCCTCGTACGCGCTATTAGCTATTATTGCGTACGAGAGAACATTCGACGTTCGAGAACATTCAGGTGAAACAAAAAATCGTCGGAACAGAAAAATCGCGTACCGGTTATTGACACAACCGACTAACCTTGTCCATGCATGAATCGACCAACCAATCATTTCAAGTTTCCTGCTGCTGTACTTAAACGCTTGCGTTTTTGCGCGCGGATCGTAATCCAATACGGATCGATCAATGTTCCACAAAGAAACGCGACTTACGTACGGGATGAGAACTCTCCCCTTCGTTCATCATATCAGATATCTGCATGAAACATTAACGAGCTCATTCCACGGCCGATCCGTATTTCCTACTTCATGCGGCGCTCGCATCTGTGAGCTTGTTAACGACCTGATCTTTGTTGCTTGTGCTTCAAGGTCATCGTTGCAGTACCCTCAAGCTGTGCTTTATCCAAGGGAACAGTACTTCGTCTCACTGAATTTAGTTATTTTTTGAAACCGATGCTTTTTCCCCCTTCGTTTCGTAAATTCTATTTTACCTTTCGTTTCTTTTTCTTTCTTTTTTTCTTTGAACGATTTTATTTCGTACTCTTTATTCAGCCCTTTTTATTTTGCCTTGCTTACGCCGTCCTCTACGTTTAGTTCTTCTACGTTGCCCTTCATTTTCCGATCGATCTCATTTCGTCCAATATTTCGCGAACGCGGCTTCGTATCGTCGACGCGTTATTTCGCCTGTCCGGCCGGCTGGTAAAACTCGTTTCTCACAGGCTGGAACGATCTTCTTGCGCGTCTCGAAACCGGTAACAATAAAACTACTCGGTAGCGACGAACGAGCGAATAAGATCGGCAATAACGAGCCGTTATCGACCGACAGAAACTGTTCGAGGGACGAACGGGTTGCACGCGAACCTCGCGTGCATCACCGAACGGTTCGAGAGGCGCCGCTGACTTTGTATGCAAATACATTAACATACTTTGTCTACAATGTAGTAAATTGAATGTTTGACATGTACCGGAATGAATTAAACATTATATTTATCTGGAAATAACTGGATTGAGACGTCTTCCCGCCGTGAAGATGTTATTCGAATTGCGCCGAGAGGATCGCGAGAAATTGCGCGCTCGGTCGAAATATTTTCATTCGAACATTCTCTCTGTCCGTCGCGAGGCGAATCGAATCTACAACATCTATTGAAACATCGCGGCGTTCTTTTCACGACACCCGTATAATGAACGCGGCGAAGAATGCTAAACGCTGACTCGGGCCGCCGCCGCCGCTGACAGTACCGGATCGTCGGCGGTTCTCGCAGTTAGTATTCCCAGTCGTTGATCCTTTCACTGTTTTGCATACGGTTTCAGGGTTCACGAGGTTAGCGTCAACGACTTCTAAACGCACAAAAAGCGATTATGAGAGAGAGAGAGAGAGAGAGAGAGAGAGACGCGCGTGCTGTCGATCGAACGGGCGAACGCCGAGTGACGGAACGAATTCGCGAACGAAATGAGAACCGATCGCCGATCGTTTGTATCGCCATCGATTTCTGGCGACGGGATTCCTGAACCTGTTGCTCGATTTCTTGCGCTCTTTTCCCGCCGTTACAAGAAATAACAAGTCGAAAGGAACTGTTAATGAAAGTTCTGTGTCATATACGACCGAAGCTGTCGGCCGATCGCGTGTCGTTCTCGCGATCTCGTTCGGATAATTGCGGCACTGATCGCATTCGATCATTTTTATACGAACTCTATTCGGTACACGTTTTACAAAACGGTTGTTTCTTCGATTAATAGTTTTCACGATCGAGCTAGCCAGCTGCCGACAATTCGTCGAGAATTTCGCGGGTTCCATCGAGGTCTGGAACCTGATTCATTATCTTCGTCCAAGGGCAAAAATGCTATACTTTTTGGATACAAGTCGAAAGTTATATTCTTGTCGATAACAACAGCGTTCTGAAATTTTTTGGAGCTCGTGAAAGATTCCTTTGGTGAAATAATCGAAGAAGAAAGAGGCTTCGAGAAGTTTTTGAATAGAAAAGAGAACATATGGTTATTATACAGCGCGAATTCAGAAATCAGAAAAGTCTCGACAAAAGTCGAAGTTCTTTGGAAACGATGACGACGATAGATACGATTTAGAAATAATAATCGCGATCGCGAAAGTCTCGATTAAACGTCGCTCGAGTGTAATCCAACGCGGCAGCGCGTCTGATCATTATTTGCCGCTTCTACTTGCGGCTAACGCGATAGCGTGTGCCACGTATTCGCTCTCGAAGCTGTGATCTGCGTAAGAAACGATTTGTTTCACGCTTTCGTGCTATTCTTGCGTAGTTTTAGATCGTGAAAAAAAAAGAAATTATACGACGATTTATTCGATCCTTGTGTTCAACGTACGTACTATAACATATTCCGCTATTCATTGCCGAGTGAACGGGCCCAACTGACTCATTCATGTATTTATTCTCAATGATCACCGTGTGTCAAGTACGATCCTCTTGTTTGTGAACTGTGCGTTCGCTATTTCTTCGAGGAAAACGAGGAAAACGAGGAAAACGAGGAAAATGCGACAGTAGCCTATATCATGTAGACGATAATTAAACAATCTAACACGTTATGCGACATGTAACTGCAATCCGATCGGTTTCAATGTTAATCGAAATAAAATCATTTCCATCTGAATCAAGCTTTCTGCGAAACACGTGTCCGTGCTTTCACCTAATATTTGACCAACTAGGCTTGTCGGTAACACCTAGAACAAGCAACGGTGCTGTACAAAAGTCTCTAACATCGTTCATTCAAGGAGAAGTGAAACTGAATACATACCTCGGTAGGAAAAAGATAGTCTGAATAAACGCGTGTCGTAAATAGTTTGGCAATACTACCGCGGCCGTAAAAGATGCAATAAAACCAATGCGAGATACCGAGAGACAAGACGGGTCATTAATACTAGCGATCAGTATCGCCGGCCGACTACATAAAATATGCATACGCGTACTCGCAATACCTGATTCCAGTTAGAAATTTTTCAAGGCGACGAGAGCCTAATGTCGCCGAATTGTGCTCGCCGCCCGACTGAGTTATCGTCTACGAAATCGTGGCATTCACGATTGTCTGGCACAACCGGAACGGTTGCAACACCGGTTAGAACTAGCCGCGACAGAAGCAGAACGAAACCGAGCGTTTCACGGTACATTCCAAAAATAGATAATGGTCGAATTTCTATCCTCGATAGAGAGACATGTAAACAACAACGTAACTACTGTCTTCCTCTGCAATGAAATATGATCGCTGCTCGGTTGTCCCGTTTGTAAACAGGCTCGTAAAAATCGCTATTTGCATAAACGTCTATAATCCGGTAATTAACAACGGTCATAACTTCTGCGACAGATTTCCCTGACACGTTCCGGTTAACATCATAAAACTCTTTATCGACGCTCTAAGTGTCTTACACTGAACGATTAGTGTCAGAACACTTCTATTCTACGAGAACCCGAGGAAACAGTGGCAACCGGGATCGCAACGAATCGTTCGAGTAGCCGCGAGCCAATGATTTCGATCGTTAAATACTGTTCCGAAACTCGGACATACGCTAGATATGTATATTGTTTTGTGCAGATGTACGACGAAGGGGACAACGTCGTGTTCATGAACGTCGGTAAAAACAAGAACATGACCGAAGAGGAAGGGCGATACCTCAGCATCGAGTCTTACAATTTCAGCCCAGGAATGTCGCAATGGGGATACCAAAAAGTGGAGGGAAACGAGACGTCGCCGGAGTAAGAATCGTTGTAGTATAATAATGAGATCTGCTTTTCGCGACGAAGAAAATCCTAATGTTCTCGAATCCAGAACCCGAGAACTTGAATCAGGACATCTCGGGACCGGGGGGGGGGTCCAAATTTAGAATAAACTGACTCCAAATGGACGCGCCTGAGATCAAAGAATAATGATTAAACAGCGAATTTTTGATACACGACAAAACAGAGTAGACGATACTTCAAATAATACCAAAATGAAAACTTAGCTCAGAGTTTAGACTGAACTCAGAACTTATAGAATTTGTGGATTTCCAAGATGGGTGATTTATAGTTCTTGGATGAAGTTTCTTACAGTCCCTCGATCTCTCCTGATTCAAGTTTCTTAATCCTGTCGACGTATTATCCTACCAGAGCCTCAAATTCAAAAATTCTGATCCTACAAAGTGGTCGACGTCTGCGAAAAGAAAAAGACAACAGTTTTATATCTAGTTCGCTCTGCTAAGTGACAAATAGACTGAAGTAAAGGTGTCGCTCATTTTGGGCGACATAAACGCTTTCTAGACCCGCGCAGTCCGGTCCTAAATCTTCCTAAATTGCGACCTTGTTCTTCCCTTCAGGAACACGATTTGCAATCGCATCAAGGGATGCACCGAGGGAGAATTGTTCCCGTCGAATCTGGATAAACACGCGGTGTTCAGAATCTTCAGGAAAGCGTTCTGCAGAGCGATTCCGATCGTGTTCAAGGAGCAAGTGCAGCTGGATAACGGTCTAGAAGGGTATCTGTACAGCGTATCCGACGATTTCCTAGACCCGCCGGACATGAATCCCGACAACAAATGCTTCTGCAAAAAGGAGTCCCAGTGTCTCAAGAAAGGACTCTCCGACATGACGCCGTGTTACTATCGTACGTACAATTTTCTAGAAAGACAATTTCAATCGTTGAAACGCACATCTCGAGCTTTCGTTTTCCCTTCAGCAGAATTTGCGAATTTCTATCCTGTATCGCACGAATAATTTGCATGCTACTATCCCGACGGTTTTAGACAAGAGATAATGAACTCACCGTTCGTTGATTTCCTCGATGTCACCATCCAGTTCGCGTCAGATTCGCCGAGGAAATGCACGATAGCCGGCGGCCTGCAACACGAAATGTCGAAGTTTGAACTTTCGCAATCGAGATCGCTGCGACATTAAGGATCTGACATTCCCGAGAAACGATTTACGCGATAAATCGTGTTCGTATAAAAACAATAATAGACCAGGGGTGGGCCAAAGCGTCGACCGCGCAATTATCCCTAGTCGCCCGTTTATCTGATATTATCTATGTTTATATTACATTTAGATTGATAATAATAATTTAAAAAAAAAGAAACAGATCGCCCGTAGCGATCAAAAGTTTGGCCACCCCTGCGATAGAGCTTCGATTATCCGAGCCGACGGCCTCTGAATTCTTTGTTATCCAAGCACGTTGTACGATCTCTCATTTTTCTTGTCGCATCAACAACGGTTATTTCTGATAATCTTTATCGATTATCTGTTAACGCTAGACTTGTAAAAGCAACGTAAAAGCAACTATTTCATACTACTTTATACAGACAGATTATTGCATCGACGGGTCCCGTAAACCTAAGCGTTGACCGCTTGGTTACAGATCTACTTGAAATAATTCTTGCGTTTGTAACGAATTGAATCTTCTCAATTTTTAAAATAGTCCTTTTCTAAAAGTTTGAACGACGAATTAGACTCGCCATCCGTAACTCGGGCAAACCAAGTGCACGACGAGTCTCGGTCGTCAAATGTACCGAAGGGGTTGTTGATATCGTCGAACCCGACGGCTGAATCGGTTCAAATAAACTTAGATAATCGTAGGATTTCGTTGTTTCGCCCAGGTATCCCAGCAGCCATGTCTCTGCCGCACTTCCTCGACGCGGATCCGAGTTTGCTAAACGGTGTCGAGGGTCTCCATCCGGATCCCGAGAAACACAGGACGAAAATCATTATACAACCGGTGAGTGCGCGGGTCGGATTGTCCATCGAACGGTGCACTTATGCAGCGAATTATGCAGCGAATTGTCTTTAATCGTCTTTACACATATGCACGAAACGATCGGTATATCAGCACTCGATTATGTCGCGAATCTACGCTGGAAGTCGGATTAACCGAACGCTCGTGACGCCTCGCGACGTTGACATACACACAGACGAGTCGCGACTGAGTGATTTGTCATTCAATTTCAACCCCGCGTTTGTCCCCTGCGAAATTCCTGAACAACCCTGATTGGCTAAATCACGCGCTGGGTCTTTCCAATCGGAGCCGTCCGTTTATCCGTTTTCACCGCGACGTAATTTCTTGCGCCCTTAGCGCACTTGTTATCGGAACGGCGAGGTGATCGGAGGGCGATGAGTTTGTCGCGACTATGCCGCGGGTCTTTTGTCCCGCGAGGCTTCCGGATGATCCTTTAATTTACGACCGACCACGATTTACCATTCAGGACTTTCGGGGAAAAAAACTCTGCTAAACATGCGACGTCGAAAACACCGGACATTATCGATTCAAAAACAGCTTCGCGGAACGAGACTCGTAAATTACGCTGCACGTGGTTCCAGGAACCACCCAGGTACATCGAACTGTCCCGAAAAGTCCCCCGAAAACGTCGGCCACGCAAGCTGCACCGACGTACGTGGTTCAAACCCGATGTTTACGGCCCTATTATAATAAATACGTGCGGAAGACTCCGACCGCAATCGGCGCGACGGTGCAATTTTCGTTCGCAATCCGATCGATTCCGCATTGCCGGAACGCGTTCGGTTGCCGGTGCAAGATTTTTACTCGCGCGTTAATGTCGCGTACGTTGTTAAACGTACGACGTATGGTCGAACACGATTTAATCTGCGCGAACATTTTCTTCGCGACCACGCGTTACGAAAGACTCAATAATTATCCCGGTTTTCACGCGCTCAGGGACTCGCACTGTTCGAGCCCTGCATTATAATGAAGCCATTTATAACATATCGACCAACAAAAACGAAAGTCCAGTGTCACCGAGACCGTGAGAATTAAACCATTGTCATTCTCGAGACCTTCCCACCGCCGCGAAAACGTTCGAAGTCTGTGCATACGTCGCTCTTCGAAGATTTGTTCGAACGCATAGCGCGGAAAGAATTTCGCCGAAAGCAAATTTTTTAGCGAAGATATTAACACTTTCACAACCGCACGTTATTAAGAAAAGTTTTGCAAATGGCTTGCCACTGGTACCACGTGGGAGTCACCGGCAAATAGCGACTGGCCTATCAATGGTACCACGTGAGTGTCACCGGCAAATAACGACTGGTCTACCAATGACACCACACGAGTGTCACCGGCATACAACGACTGACCTNCGGGGAAAAAAACTCTGCTAAACATGCGACGTCGAAAACACCGGACATTATCGATTCAAAAACAGCTTCGCGGAACGAGACTCGTAAATTACGCTGCACGTGGTTCCAGGAACCACCCAGGTACATCGAACTGTCCCGAAAAGTCCCCCGAAAACGTCGGCCACGCAAGCTGCACCGACGTACGTGGTTCAAACCCGATGTTTACGGCCCTATTATAATAAATACGTGCGGAAGACTCCGACCGCAATCGGCGCGACGGTGCAATTTTCGTTCGCAATCCGATCGATTCCGCATTGCCGGAACGCGTTCGGTTGCCGGTGCAAGATTTTTACTCGCGCGTTAATGTCGCGTACGTTGTTAAACGTACGACGTATGGTCGAACACGATTTAATCTGCGCGAACATTTTCTTCGCGACCACGCGTTACGAAAGACTCAATAATTATCCCGGTTTTCACGCGCTCAGGGACTCGCACTGTTCGAGCCCTGCATTATAATGAAGCCATTTATAACATATCGACCAACAAAAACGAAAGTCCAGTGTCACCGAGACCGTGAGAATTAAACCATTGTCATTCTCGAGACCTTCCCACCGCCGCGAAAACGTTCGAAGTCTGTGCATACGTCGCTCTTCGAAGATTTGTTCGAACGCATAGCGCGGAAAGAATTTCGCCGAAAGCAAATTTTTTAGCGAAGATATTAACACTTTCACAACCGCACGTTATTAAGAAAAGTTTTGCAAATGGCTTGCCACTGGTACCACGTGGGAGTCACCGGCAAATAGCGACTGGCCTATCAATGGTACCACGTGAGTGTCACCGGCAAATAACGACTGGTCTACCAATGACACCACACGAGTGTCACCGGCATACAACGACTGACCTGCCCATGACACCACAGTGGTGTCAGCGGTTGTGAAAGTGTTAAGATTTGAATGTCGAAGATTCTCGCCTGTTATTTCAAGAATTGACCCTTACGAAGAGTGACGAAGAGGGTTTCGCTCGAAGCGAATGAATGCAATGGTCGCTCGAATTCGAATCGAATTTTTCTTGTTTCCCATTTCGCATAATGATCCGCCCCGGGTTCCGCTGGGACTAAGTCAGCCGAGCACGGGGCTGATAAATAGCCGTTATCCGCGAGATTAACGCGAGCATTAGCAACGCGGTGCCGGTGCCGTTTGTCTATCGATAGCGCATTCTTCGGGAAACGAGAAACGCCGCGGTGTCGCCGAGCGTGTTTCACAAGAAAACTCGCGGCATGGGAGAAGAACGCATTCGCAAACCGGTCGTCGTTTTTTAGTTGCCTAATCATAAACGATCGAGGGTAATATCTCGTGGAACTAGTATGTCTTAACGGTCGACGCGCTGACCAACGAGACCGTCGACCCCTGACAGAATCATTTCAAACGGATCGCGAAATAAGTACCAAGCGACCTTTCCTGAATCAATGTGACCCAGTCCGTCGATCGCGCTTCATCGCCCTTTGTTTTCTTCGCAGGTGATCGGCATTCCGATGCACGTGAACTCGAGAATGCAGATCAACCTTGTCATGAACCCGACGTACTTCAACTCGGAGATCAAGGCCTTCAACGGCATCACGGTACCATTGTTCTGGACCGATCTGGTGAGCATTATTGTTATTTCGACAAATTATCGATCGTCGACGATCAACGTACGATGACCCCCGCTTCAAGTGAGATGTGTCCGACCTTGCGGCATCTTCGAGAGCGTACAAAATAACGCGTTCGTTCGTTATTGGAAATTGCTGTTAAGATAGGCTCGCGATGGGCGGCACGGAGACCGAAAGCGGTCCCCTATACTATACAGCTCATTTTTCATCCTAGGGAATATACGGAGCTGCCTTCGAGGCGAGTTTCTCAAGGACACGTTCGAGTGAATCAGCAGAGCGTAGACAATCGCGGAAATCAGTAATTAGATTGTAAATCATTCGGAATTCGCAAGGAGAGCGTGTCCGTTAATCAAACTGTGTTGCATATGAAATCAGAGATTCGGCCGAGGATATAGATAGGTCTGTCGTTAACAGGAGAAGCGGCGAAGGTCGTTTCGCATGGCGCCGGTGATTTAGAGGACCTTGCCCGCCGAGTCAGTGAACTCGCTTCGTCGGCGATACAACTTTCCATATAAAGAAATGTTACATCGACCTTAATCTTCGTTTTCGCAACTCCGCCCGACAAAAAGAACGCTTCGAACGGTCCACTCGATATCTTCGCGAAGTACTCGGCTAATTACCAAAATGCGGGCTTGTTTAATTTTTGTTCGTGCAGCACCGACAAGCCGATAGAAAATGAATAGCCCGGTGTGCGAGCGTAGTTTCATTGAAACACACAATTTCCTCGTTGATCGTTCCGACAATTTTCAAGGGGAACTCCTGATTTTACATCTGCGACGATGCAATGCGTTCAATAAAAACGGAAAATCATTTTCCATTACGAATAGCATTCGAGATAATATGAAATAATCGTTCCGGTCTGTTATCTGGAAGAAAGATAGATGAGAGTCGCAACAGCTTTCCCCCCACCCCCACCATTCCGATTATCAAAGGTTCTGCGATGTACATACCACTGGAATGGACAGTTATTACGATATATTTTCGGCGTTTCTCTACCAAAGAACGAACAATACATAATAATTCGTTTTTCTATTCGTTTCTTCCGAACTTACACCCATCGCTCGAATTCGATATCGTAGTATCATGTTTGGATATTTACGTACGAGCGTAATATACGCGTAAAAAGGGAAGCCGCAAAAGAGCCCCCATTCGCTGGTAGCTCGCAGAAAGCTTATATTCAAGATTATACGGTGTCGTAAACGGCGATACTTGTCATCGTGTAAGCTATAGATCTGCAAGAATATTTCATTTAGAACCTTTCGAAATCTGACGTTTGCCACGCATGAATTTCCATTCGTGCGATGTTCGTAAATATACAAGTTTATTACACGAAGATCATGCTGTCGTGTAAAACTTAACCTTGGCTCGAGCCGATTCGAGAATGAAAAATAAACGAAAAGATGATAATTACCGAGTTCTCTTGGACTTTCCTTAAAAGCGGTTCACTAATTATTAAAAACGCGCGAATCCAAACGGAATGATCTAACGCGGAGTACAAACACCCGCGGCCACGGCACGTTCGGTCATAGAATCCTCTAGTTTACATAGATGGCCTGCATTGCTATAATCTACGTGCACGAATTTGTTCGCAGTACATACCGTCGCCGCCGAGTGATCTGCTGTTCCTCTTGAAACTGGTGCTTCACGTGCTCCCGATTGGACAAATAATAACGATCTGGCTGCTAGCGATCGCAGGAATTGCGATGATTATGTTGTCAATACCGGCCATGTTGTGGGCTATCAATCAACAGCAACAAGCGCTTGCGGTGGATCGAAGAGACAGCACCGACTTAAGGATACCGCTCAACTACGGCCAATACACGACGATACGTATTTTACCAACTATCAAGAAGATCACGTCGAAGACCGATCTGTTTAGTTAGCACCTAGGAAACTATATTCGTGAAGTGCCAAATAAACGCACGTGATCGCAACGTTTTTTTAGTTTTCGAACAACTAGGCGGGAAAAACGATGATATTCGAACGCGTTTGTTCTCGGCGGGAATGAACGGTGCCGGTTCTCCTCCAATCTACTTTTAACAGACTCAGAACACGAGAGGTGTCAGGTATTCTGCGTTACGGTACGCATTCAGGGTTTCGTGCTAAAAATATTTTCCTTTAACGATCAATATTACGTATCCATTCGAGGACATTCTTACCGTTCGCTTCGAACCCTATTTCATTCGAATTAATCTGTAAAAATGACGCTATTCTTCTTGTTTTATTCCGTTTAACGAAGGTATTACCGTACTAGTTCTAATAATAATTTAGCGAATACGAAAGATCAATTAATGACGATTCCAGTAGCTATGTTTCGAACTGAAATATCTACACCTGTATACACATAAGAGTTTTTGTTGAGCGATGTTCACGTTTCGGCGTCCTCTTTAGCGTCTTATTTCCTTTAGCGGCCTTCGAGAAAGAGATGAAGCAATAAGCGAGGAAATCTATCAAAATCCTGATAAAAAGCATATATTTTCTCGCTCGTTCGATATTAATCTGCTTTTTCTTCGGTCATGAGGCAGATACGGTTGTCAGCCAATAAGGGCGCAGAACAAATTACTGCTACTATTTTTAAACGTTACACGCTGTCGCTTAAAATGTGCGACATTACAGAGAAGAAGAACTGTGTATTTCTATTTTGTATACCGTAGTATGTACTTTTAAATATTATTTGTAGTTTAATAATAAACTAGAGAAAACACTTAAAGTAAATAATTTGCAAATTTTTATACATTTCTTCGATTTAGGGCATTCATCAAAATTTGTAAAATTTAAATTTAGAACGAATTCATAGTGAAATTTATTTTTATCCTTTATTTTATATATTAATATTTTCATCGCTGCAATTTGTATTATCATTGTCATATCTCATCTACTGTGCTAGAAATGTAGTTTTAGGATCACAATT